TCACCATTGAAATGCCTCTGTTTCAGTCGTCCCACTTTCTTCCCCCTGAATGCTGTGTATTTAGAAGTGGCAGCATATTAGGCTTGGACTCCGCTTTTTGTCAGTCAGATCTGTTCAGTCTGATGACAGAAATGAGGAGCTACTTGCCACAGTGCCTACTTAGTGAAGCAGGGTGAACACAGGTAAGAGATGATGAGTTTAGACTTTGTTGTGCATGGCAATAAGTGCTTGCTGGGCTCCAATCAGCTGCATTAAAGGTGATGAGGCTGCACATGTAGCAGGATAATATAATTGAGGACAGCAAGTTGTACAAGATTCAGCGAGGTCTTTACGCAGTTTGCAGAGTCTTGCTGCTGAGGGTGAGGCCTAAAATGAGAAGTAGCCAAGCTGGATAGTCAGAGCAGGCAGGTGCAAATCCTGTAGGGCTGGTAGTCCTGGTTTATGATATACAGAGGAAAGAAGATGAGAGAGAGGAGGGGCTGAGGAGAAAGACAATAAACTTTTCAAAGAAAGCACTTTAGGGATTAGGTCTTAGGCTTAGTCCTGTAAAAATTGGAGTTCAGCTCCTTTTTCTCTTGCATTTCTTTTATGACATTAGGCGAGATACTTGGGACCGTGTTTTAAAGGGTGTAGATAACCCCAAACAGAATCAAGTATCAGTGAATGTTTTCAAAGTTAAGGTCCAGCAAAGAGGGGTAGGAAGTACTATCTTTGTTGACTACTTACCTTTAAATACCTGAATAACTTAGAAGAACAGGGCTCTAATCTTGCTAGGTATCAGTTCTTCATTTAAACAGAAATGTTGTTTGTCTAAAGTCCTGTGAGGATAAGCATACATTGTGCTCTTGGCTCTAAAGCAAGTGGGTTCCATATGCACTCCTAAGCATATGCAGACCTGTAATTGAGAGAAAATAGTTAGATAGTCCTATAAAAATTAACCAGCAACATTTTTCTCAACAGCCCAAATCTAACCTGGAGGGATATGCAACACTTGGTAGTCTGGACCTCTGAGTATGATCCACTGGCTGGCAATCCAGGATGGAAAAAGAATGGAGCTGGGCTCATGGTAAACAGCCGATTTGGGTTTGGATTGCTTAATGCCAACGCACTGGTGGATTTAGCCGATCCTAAGAGATGGAAAGGTGTGCCGGAAAAGGAAGAGTGTATTGTCAAAGACAAAAGCTTTGAACCGAGGTAAGAATTTACATTAATAGTAGCTAATTTTAGAACAGATTGCATCTATTTTAGTAAAACCTGAAGGGGAGTATTTTGCACCAAGCTGGATTGCTCCAAGCCAGACTACAATTTTGCACCAAGCCAGATTTCTCCAAGCCAGACCACAACCCAGAGGTTTCTCTTTGATTTGCTTGTTTTTGCCTTATTGTATTCCTCAGGATTCCAGGCGCATGCAAGCAGCACTTGTCTTCTTGCTTTTTACCATTTAGTGTAAGGCTCATGGAAATTGCGACTTTGAAATCTTTAACAAAGAATAAGATCATAGGATCTTATTGTGTAGCCAGTGTATGGATGGATGAGACTGTGAGACTGAAGGTGATCGCATATGAAAGTTTATGTTGCTATCAGCAGATGAAGAAAAGGCTACCAAAGTCTCCCACAGGCCTTAAAAAAAAAAGCTGTAATTTTTCTTAACATTTTTTTTCTGTGTCATACATAGTGCTTTTTCAAATTAGGGTGATATGTTGAGTTTTAGATTTGATGCATAACAGTGCTTTTGTGAAATGCAAGGCTCACTGAGCAGACCTACCACCAATACAGACAAATTGTACTCAGCCTAAATGAAATTCAAAATACATATAAGTTATGTAAGTTATACTTAATCATTAACTTGGTTAATCAAGGATGTTTACACCTTTCTTGTCCCCTCATAGAACAAATGCATTTATTTCAAAGCTACAGATTATACTATGTAAGTGCACCAAAAATCTTTTTGTAGAAACATATTACAGTATTGTGGAGTGTTACTGCCTGGTAACCAATTATTTATTCTGTTTTATTATCAATCTGCTTTTTTTTCCATCTCCTTTGCACAATCTGTTGTTTTTTCTTTTCCATTTTTTATTAAATACAGTAGTGATTTATGTCATACTGCTTATGTATTATTATTATTACAAGCCTTTATCTTACATTATAAAACCAAAGATCCGAAGGTCTTTAATTCTGAATGACTTAGGTGGAGATGTAGATAGCCAGTTCTCATTAAAATTAAAGGAGATGATTGTGCAAAGAAAGCTATGCACAGTGTTCTGAGAATGTACAAAAGATGTATGCTTTTTTTCCTAGAAATGGGATTTGCTACAAAGGACAAAAAAAAAACATATCCTTCCTGCAAAATTTAGCTCCATGATAACAGCTCTTCTAGAGATTTCAAAGCAACTCCAAATTCAAAAAATTCTTCTTCCTCTCTTGCTGTTCTGATAAAGGTGTCAAATGCGTCAGCTGCCCTTCACATAATAATACAGAATCAGCAATCTTCTATAAGTAATCCAACAATTTCTCTTAATTTTGCCAGATTATTAAGAGCAAATGGGGAGGTCATCATTGAAATTCCCACCAAAGCCTGTGAAGGTCAAGAAAACTCCATTGCGTCACTGGAGCATGTGCAGCTTGAGGCAACAATCGAGTATTCCCGTAGGGGAGATCTTCATGTCACCCTGGAGTCTCCATCAGGTAAAGGAGGAAGAGAAATGCTTGTTTCCACTATGTAGTGTGTAAAATTTATTTCATTAAAAACGATCTGCTCTTCGCTTCATTAAAAGTATTCAGTACATTGTTAGACAAAACTTCCGGCAGGTGAGTGAAGACAAAGCATCCTGGAATTAGGCAACTAGATCTCTCAATCCTCTTCTCTGCCTCTGACATGCAACAAATTATAGTTTGGTGGTGCTTATCAGCTTTACTGTGCTGGAAAACTGAGGAAATCTACTCCCTAGATTTCATATAATTGTGTTTTATCATTGGTATATTTAAAACATAATATCTCTCTTAGGCACCTTGCTACCATAAACTAAATGTGCTAAAATACCTTGACAGTGCTCTGAAATAGAACCATGAGAAGAAGAAAGAGACCAGAATGAGTATAAAAAAATATAGACAAAGATCTTTTGTAGGTATTAAAAGTATTAAAAAAATATTTTTTTAAAAAAAGAGGAAGCGCTCTCAGATACCGTTTAAAAATCAGTCTAATCTAATATCCTAATACTAAGGTTAAACTAGTAATTCACAGATAATAAAATGCTAGAACATTGTTCACATCATTATTGCAGGACTTTCCTGGAGAGCAGAGATAATGTGTTGTATATATTGTGTATTTCCAAACCCTACCTGTCTGTGATTCCTTTCAAACCTAACTTTACATCTTCCTTTTCTGAGTTTACCTTCTTTATTATGTCAGATTACCTCAATATGACTATGTTGTATTTTTTTCTTAACCATTGGTGTGCATTTCCAAATGTAACTCCATCCCAGATGAGTTTTAGCTTGGGTATAAATGGATAGGCTGTCTCTAGGCTCATAAAAGAAATGAGAGGAACTTTTAATAAGAAGTCTCTAATTCACTCTGCTGCTAATGTCTAGGAATTAGGTGAATCTTAGTGAACATCAGACTTAAAAGCCTGATGACAGTAATATCTTCTCATGTCCTTTTGTACTTCTGTGGCTTTAGCTGAGGTAACAATCATTGATTTTACTGCCTCTACCTTAGTATCATGGTTAAACTGTTGAATTGTTCTTTCTCTCAATTCTTCCCACCTTTCTTTACAATGTTCCTACTGAATGCATGTTGTTCCTTTTCTATATTTATGGTGTGATTTTTAAATGTATTTATAGCTTATGATAAGGCTCCCTGGGGCTTTCTGCTCTATATTATGTAAATATAGCTCTATTGCTCACTCTTTATATGCAAACAAGCACAAGTCTCCTACTGTGCAGCAAAATCTCTTCTGCCACAGAAACTCCTGCATTTTTATAATAATTATAAAAATAATGTGAATGCTTTTCCCTGTGTTAGTGTTTCAGGATGTAATCGCTTACATTAACTCACCAAAAAAGCCAAAATGATGAGTTCTGTATAACCTTTTGATTTCATAATACTGTGTAAGATGAATTAACAACTCACTGCTACTGAAAGGAGATGTCCCACTTCCCCTTCTTAAACTGCCTTACCTCTGCCTTTACCCACTCCCCCATACATGCTCCCATTTCCTTGCTGCTTCTTCCTTTTGATGAGCGCAAACATTATTTTGGCTCATGCATTTCATAAAAATAGGTTAATTGGTACAATTTTCATTTGTTGCAGTATTTTCCTCTTTGCTACCACATCTGTTTCTTAAATGTTTGATACTCCCCTTCCACACATTCTAGGCAGTAATCCAGGTTAGCAAGTTAGATCGTAACAGTCAATGTCACAGGATGCTGTTGAATTTAGAATTAAATCATTAAAATGCAGCAACCAAATTAAAGACAAATGTATCTATCAGTGTCTTTTTAAAATGCTGGCTTGTTTTAGAAACTTCCACATCATAAATTCTCTGAATTGTTTATTGCTGGAGAAAGACTGACCGTGTGTGATATGTTTCTTAGGCTCTTTTTTTTTTTTTTTTAATGAGCATATACTACTGATTCTTAGTAGAAGCTGAACACTAAGCAAAGTGTACCTTTCTAATGTGACCTAATATGACAGTTTTCTGCTCTTTAAATATTGCTTTGAAAATAATTAATCAGTGATCAGAAATGGCATATTTCCTATTCTAAGCCCATGTTAAATACTGTATATTCCAGGTTAGCTATGCATGTACTGTATAGCCTGCCAGCTGAGTAATTTGAAAAATAAAACCATATGTGGCTGAAAAATTACTATTACTCATTTATTATACTAATATAGGAACCAGCACTGTCTTACTGGCAGAGAGAGAGAGAGATAAGTCTCCTAATGGCTTTAAGAACTGGGACTTCATGTCTGTTCACACATGGGGAGAGAATCCAACAGGCACCTGGGTATTAAGAATTACTGATGTGGTAAGTAAATCTATATGTTAAGTAGTAAGGTATTTGGCAACTAACACAGATAAAGTGATTGATAGCCACTGTCAAGCATCTTAAAGAGGGGGTCTTCTCAGCGAGCAAACTCCCATAGGACTTGGTTTAAAGTACATATCCATCTGGCTGAAAGATTAGACTGGCTCCTCTGAAACACACACAAAAAAGATAAGGTCGAATTTTCTTGTTCATTGCATAAACGCAAAACCAGCCTCATTTCACAGATATATACCTATCAATAAAAGTTCATGCCTATATATTTCTCATGCCATATTATACTGAGAGAAATAATTTCATATAATTTTCTGTGGTTTATGGAGTATATAATATGTAATATAATATAATTTATATATGATTCATTGCAAATTAGTTTTTCCTGCAGAGAAGAGCATAGATCTAGTCTCCTCTTGGTCATTGTTCGTAATTTTCATTAACTTGGAACCTTTGAATTAATAAATTTCAGGTGACTTTATAGAGCTGTTCTGCCATATATCTGTCCTACCTTCTTTTCAGCCTAATTACTGCCATAATTATTGCTGAAAAACTTCAATGGTTGAATCAAGAAATCTACAGATATAAAATAAATATGTTTGCTCAAACCACCTGGAGATATGGATTACAACAATGCAACACCAGAAAAGTGTTTGATAGGCAACTGAAAAAATCATCTTTTTAAAGGAGATCAAGCTCACTTATCTTTGGAGAGTTTCGTTGAAGTTGCCTACCAATAAGCTTGTCATTAGGGGTCAGATCCTGCCAAGAACTGAGTGTTTCCTATCAGACACTGAGGCTCCGATCCCTTTTGGGCTCAATTTGTAAACAGCGGGATGATGCCAAGTACAGAGCAGATGGGCAAGGCAGTAGGAGTAAATATAATTATCATCATTGTAGAGTTAATATTGTGGGCTTATAGCTAACCCCATGGTTACAGATATCCTGCTCTTTGTAACTCCTATAACACGTTTTTTGGAATGCTCTTAAGAATATCGTTTTATTCCATTTTCAAGTGAGAGAAGATCCTGAATGCTAGAATAAATACATGTAAAATTAATGGAAGATTTATCAGAAATTAAGATCTTTAGCAGCTGTCTCAAGTAACTATTGTCTGAGCAAAAAGTTATAAAAAGAAGCTTTGATGAAGACAATTCTCAGCATTCTCCATACTTGTCTCTACTACTTTCAAGTTTCCAGTTTTAAATATTGTCATCAAAAATAATGGATAAAGCATTTGGTGCTTCGCAAGCTGTGTTTCAGACTACTGCTGTACATCAACCACTATGGAATATTATTGCAAATGACTGTTTCAGTGGCAACTGTTGTGGCGATGTTGCCAGAGACTGACTTGAGAACAAACCCTAATAACACAGAATAAATTCCTTTAATGCTTACATGATTCATATATAAATATGTTGCATTAGAATATGAGTATTTGAAATAAATAGTCAAGACTTTGTGTTAAATTCCACATTCTGACATATTCTGTTTATAATGTCCTTTGGTGCTTATAAGTCATTGTCTAATTTTAAATACTGAAAGCCCTGTAGTTTATTTTAGTGTCTTCTGTCTAACTTCAGATCAAGTATCTTCCATTTCATTTTCTTACTTCTTACTGAGAACCTATCCTAATGCCATCCTTGCCTTCTAGTCCAGAAGAATACAAAATGAAGGGAGAATTGTAAATTGGAAACTGATTTTGCATGGCACGTCTACCCAGCCTGAGCACATGAAGCAGCCACGTGTGTACACATCCTACAATGCTGTGCAAAATGATAGAAGGGGAGTGGAGAAGATGACAGACCTTGTAGAGGTAATATTAAGCTAATTTACTTCCTTATCTATTTTTCAATTTATAAGAATATGGTATTTCTTTTCTAGTGAGAGGACACTCATTCATTCTGTATTCTTTTCTCTACCCCTTAATCACATGGAAGTGTGAGCACTGTGGTTATGTCCATTTCAACAACTGGTATATTTTCTTTCGACTCTGTTTTCATATACCAACATCTAAGGGCTTTTGGATGTTAAGAGACTATTGGCACTACAGCTGTCAGCTCAATATCTAGTGCAGCTGAGTGGTGCAATGAAGGAAGATTATTCCTCTAACAGATACACAGCATTTATCATAATTCCAGTGAAAGCAAGTCTCAGACCCCAAAAGAGCCTGCTTGCTGGAAGTTTGGAATAAAGTGTGTAACTAATGGCAGCACAAAATCAGAGATTCTCTGATTCAGAGGGATTTAGTTAACTGCATCTGTAGTGCTTTCAATAGTCAGTTTTGTTATATAATGATCTAATTTTTTTCTAGATGCTAGTAGTCCCATGTGAAAAAAATAGCATCTCTTTGCACACACACACAAAAAATTGCTATTTAGAGTAAATATAGCTCTAGTCAACTTTTCATTGACACCTAATCTTCTTTATACTATTCTGTATTTTAGGATCATACCACAGTGGAGTACCTGAGCGAAAATCCCAAAGTCACAGAAGGCACCAGTAGCAGCAGTGCCAAAGCAGAAGATAAAATTCCATCCAAGGCCATGCTGCACCTGCTGCAAAGTGCCTTTAGCAGGCAGATGGCTCAGAAGCGCCTTCCCGAGAAGGCTGCAAGTGAGAAGTTAAATATTCCATACGAACAGTTCTATCAAGCCCTCGAAAAGTTAAACAAGCCTTTTCAGCTAAAAGACTCAGAAGAAAGTCTGTACAGTGACTACGTTGATCTTTTTTATAACGCCAAACCATACAAGCATAGAGATGACAGACTGCTGCAGGCCTTGGTTGATATTTTGAATGAAGGAAACTAAACTATAGTGTATGGCGCTGAGTTGGAAATATTCATGCCCCCCACCCCACCTCCACAGTTTTTTTTCAGAAGTCTATTGTATGCTCTAGTTGTGTGATTGCTGATTTGATTGCTTCATATTTAACATGAATATCAGGAAGAGGACAAAAATAGGTGTGGGAGGATAAGGCAGTAAACTGATGCTTTTTAGTAATAGCTTTCTTCAAAGCCTTTATTCATTGCCATCAGAATACACTTGCCCCTTCAGGCATGAAACACAACAGTATTCCCCCAGGGAAAAAAAAAAAAAGCTCTATTTTAAACAGTTTTCACATTGCTTTTTCTTCCACCCTATTCCCTTAGCATGCAGTAAGATTCAAAACCTGAGTTACCAAGCAGTTTTGAACTGAACAGCCAAAGCTATAGGGAGATACTCTCATCTCTGGATTTGTAATAAATATTGCAGTCTTTTTTATGCTTGGCATTTATTCAGGATTTAAGACTGGCAACCAGTCCTGCTTCTGTCACAGTTTTTTTTTTTTTGTCCCTTTTCCAAACAATGCAACCTTCTGTTCTCTAGGAAAGGAGCAACTGTAAACCTGGAATTGGGTTGGAGCATTGTAGGAAAATGCCAACCACTCATTTACTATCCATTATTGGAAAGAAGCTTTTTTCTAAGCACACAGTAATGAAGTTATTTCTGATGTATGCTACAGGCATATAGATACTAACACAAAGGAGCCCCAAATGAGGCATGCCAAACCAGGGGATAGCATTCTTGCCACCTAATTTTAACTCAAATGAAGTGCCTGAATTGAAACCTTAGTCTTTGTAGGCTGTATATAGTTAATGAAGACAGAGGCTCCTGTAAGTAACATTTCAAAGCGCTTGGCTAGTTTTTACACTGGTCCTGAATTACCTGATAGAGTACCCATATATTTTATTTTATTTTTTACTGTAGGAGTTTTGGGGGACTGACCTTTTACATATGGAGCCTCAGTTAGGTTTCTAAACTTAAGTAATACAAAAATCTCCTGAGATGTCTGCATCCTCGACAGTCAAGACAACGAATCTGCCTTCTCCTTGATCTGTGGCCGAAGTGGAAAGGGGAACTATTTCTGCAAAGTCCACTTAGAGACTGGCCATTGGAATGTTTCCTAAATATTTAGCAAGTTAAAGGAAAATGAATGGGAGAGGCTTGAGATACAAGTATCAAGAGAAAGGAGTCAGTAGAAAGAAAGACTGCTTGGGATGTGGAGGAGAAAGGAAAAGGTAAAAGAGAAGGAAATAGAAGTAACTCTGAGGGAGAAGCATGAGCAGACTGCTCCCTCACAGTAGCACTTGTAGGAAAGAAAAAATGGAAAGATATAATAGGGAAAAAAAACTGAATAGTGAGAAATGTGGGGAAAATCTGTAGTGAGAAGAAAAGGGATAGCAAAGGGAGAAGAACCCTGGTAAGAAAGGTCGATCACCCTATCGCAGGTGAAAAAAAATGAAAGCTGGAGTAGAATGATATGACTGGAAGTGTTTGTTAGAAAAATAGTTTTTCACACATGCCTCTCTAAAGTCAAAGTAAATATTGGCTTATTATTTTGTTGTTCATAATGAAAAAGTAGTATAATACTGGACAGTCAGAATTTGGGGGTATCTAGATGAAGGAAATAAAGATTCCTAATGGAAGAAAAAAGCCTGTACCAAATTACAGTGCTAAAGATAAAAGGAATAAATACCGACTAGGTTTTACTTCTTTTTCTCCCTGTCTGTTTCTCCTATCTATCTATTGAAATATATTTTCCAAGCGTTCAAGATATACTTGTTGTCTTTCACTGTCTGTTTCTTTAAGGGATGTTGATAAATCATTACCCTGGACAGTGATTTCTCAAAATTCCTCCTAGATCTTTTAATTTAAGACAGTACTTATCTTATAATTAATCAGGACTGCTTAAAGACGACTTTAAATCTTGCCTTACCAAATTTAAGATTTGAAAATCTCTACTTATTCATTCATTCTAGTGCCAATCTTGAGCTAACTCTGCATTTTTGCCAGCTTTGGGTAAATTTAGCTTAGCTGATTTGAAGAATTCTTCTATATTTCTACTCCATGTTATCATACTTCAAAAATAGCAACTCTGAGATTGGATATCTCTTAGACTAAATCACTCTTTCTGTACTAAGCAATTTGCTTAGAACAAGAAGTGATAAAAAATACAGAAGTCGTCCAATTCAGAAGCTTTCTTATGGCGATTGGTAACTATTGAGCAAGCAAAATGTTAAAATTTCTAATAGCTGCTACTGGACATTGAGAGCACTAACATATTTCCACTGATGATTTTTTCAGAATTGGGAGTTAATTTCTACAAAAATATTCCTATATGATGTGTTAGGATGAGCTTTACTTCTGTGCAATGAAGCTTAGAGGCTGCTTCCTTCAGAGAACAGCAGTTTTAGCCAGTCGTCAATCAGGTATGACAAGGTGAGGAAAGTACTAGCAATCACCCCTTGAAAGGAGCACTCAGATTAAACAGGGGGAAAACATAGGGCCCTCCTTTGTTTTAAGTTTAGTTCCCATGTTGTAGCCAAAGTTTCATCAGAGGACAACTTTAAAGTCTCTTTTTTGAATGTTTCCAACCCAGAGGAGATTGTACAGGAGTAAATTATTTTTATTGTTGGTCTTTCCTTGGTACCTGTGTGGGTTTTGTGAAAAATGTAAAAGGAAAAAAAAAGTTTTCTCTCAAAATTTTAAATTATATTTTCTTTACAGGTATTTATAATATAGCAAAGATTTTATTGAACAGACAGAATTTTAAAAGGCCTAATAAATTATATTAAAGAACCAGATTTTTCTTGGGAAATAGACAATTTCATCCAATAAAGGTATTTTTTAAAAGGCATGTTCCAACAGCAACTGCAATTGTATGTGATGTGATGTTAAAACTTGTCTACTAGTAGCATAATACAGTGTGTTAGCAGAGCTCAGAGTGTGTGGTCTTAACCTTTGTAAAGAAAACAATAAGCTAAAATCAAGCCAATGGCTTAAATTCACTGGGAAATACAGTTTAGAATGAAAAGTAATGGCTTGATAAAGAGGGGGGGGGGGGGGGAAAGGAGTGGGTGGAGAAAATGTGTAATTTATTGGAAATGAAGAATTGCAGAGGATTTCTTCACAAGAATGAACACCAGAGTGCTTAGCTTTCCTGACCAAAGTCAAAGTCAGTTTAGTTGCTGACACCACTAACTGCAGTATTTGTCCGACTGTGAGTCTGAAGTGCAGCACTCTTCTGTCTTACATATAGGTATAAAGGAGCTGGAAGAAGTATAAATAAATACACAGAAGAATGAGTCAAGGGGCTTAAATTAAATATTTAGATCTTATTCCCTTGCATCAAAGTAGTATTGGTTGAAATGTTTTTTGTATCCGCAAGTTTCAAGACAGTAAAGAAACAAGTCCTTAGATAACCTTAATGTAAACAGCTATGGAGAACTGTTGCTTTAGGTGAGATATGCTGGTCTGTACAGAGGAACATGTTTCCTGACCTGCCTCTCTCTCTCAAGTCCCCGTTGTATACGGAAAGGAGAGGCTTGTGGCTGTGGACCCGAGGCTGCCCCTGCAATGTGTGGCAAACAGCTCCTTAGGAACCACAAAGCGGTTGTGTAGAGTTCAGGGTGTTGTGTGGTCTACTCTCTTGCACTGGTGCCCAGACAAGGCCTCAGAGATGTGGCTTTATCTGTGAAACTTCCCCATCTCTCACTGTTGGACCAAGAAGACATCATGTTCAGGGAGATGCTGAGCTTAACAAGTCTGAGCTTTCCAAAGTTTTATCTTCTGTGGTTTGAAGATTTATCAACCACTTTATTTTGCTTCTCAAGTCTTACATAACTACAGCTGTTAACAAACCTGCCTTAAAAAATGCTCCCCCAAAATAGTATCAGGCTGAAAATAATCATAAGCATTTTCAATATAAAGAAAAATATTTTTAAAGAGAACAGGGGATCTTAATATAATTTAAAAGGTGTTTGTGTATTTCTCATATCAGAAATTAGGAGTAGGTATAGTGTGTTTATGTAAAGAGCACATTCATGGGAAGGGCAAACATTTGAATCACAGAATCATAGAATCATTATGGTTGGAAAAGACCCTCAAGATCACTGAGTACAACAACAAGCCCTTTGACACCAAGCCTGGTAAAGCGTGTCCCTCAGCACTGTTTGGAGACTTGTTAAACAGGCTATTTGTGACT